TTCTACCAGAACGCCAACACCGGCCTGAGCGCGAGTCGTGATATCGACGCCTGAGTAGAACAGCTTCCACTCGCAGAGACGCGAAATTCTAGAGCTCTGAAGCGTCGATGACGAGAGTCTATGTTTATTCAGACGGGACTTCACTGCTTCATTAAGTAGCTCCTGTACTCTCTGTCGTAATGAGATGATGTAACAATTTTTGACTGTGAGATCCCACTGGGGCATCGTTGCAAAGATATAACGTGCAATAACACCAACACCATGATGGGCAAGTGTCTATGTTTTACGGGCATTTCACCACAGTCCCCAGCCCTCTTTCTTTCTCATTCGGGCTTGGGATCGACAACGGCGGGGTCAGAGAAATGATGACTACTACATGAACTGTTATCAGTGTTCGGTTATCATGCATGGAACAAATACTTACCCTTTACAAGGAAAATGATTAAAACTTAGACCTAAGTGAAATACATAAAAGTCAGGCTGTTTCACTGCCTATCAACTGAAGGATATGCCATATTTAGAAATGATGTTGTCCATTGTATTGCTTAAAATAATATTTTGTATGATTTAGAAAATATTTTCAAAACTGAAAGAAATTACAGGGTTTCCGAAATTCAAATTTGATAAAGTAACAATTGTCTACGACACCGCGCGGCACGAGGTAAAACGTTTGACTAACAGTCAGAGGCTTCACAGAAATCTATTTCAGAAAGACGCTGGTAGAAAATTACCTTCATGGTTCTCTGAAACTGTTGTCGATCCGGTGACGGACAAAGAGCAAACTCTTTACGATCTGATTGTGAAGTTGAAGGACTTAAAAGCCTCTATGGAATTTAATTCAACTGAAAAATCGAAGTTCAAATCAGGTAGCCTTGAAGAAAACATGTTCGCTTGCTTTTATAGCTGATTTAGGATATCTGTTTGGTAACATCATGCACCATATTGGGGCCAAAGTTTTAGGGAAACAGATGAAACCCTTAAAATTTCTAATGTATTCCGCGGTACTGAAGATAAAAAATATGAAGTCATCATTAGAATTAATTCTTTCTTTTAGCACGACAACACCATTCTTTCGCTGATGTCGCTGCTCAGGATTTCAAACGGCAAAGTGCCATCTTTCGCTTCATGCCTAATGATTGAACTTTATCGAAATGAGACATCAAACTTTTACGTCAAAACTTTGTTTTTGAATAGTACGTCCGAAATCCCTGTGGAACTAAGACCATTGGGATGCAGCAGTGAAGACTGTCCATTCGATGAATTACAGACATTGATGAAAAATTATGTTTTGTATCCAGCCGAAGTGCGGAATGCTGCATGTAAGCTGAAGAATTCGAAATGGACGGAAAAAGTTGGCCTCGAAAACAATTGGCAATCATTGGCTATATAGCTGAGCGATACCATGCATAAATGATTTTAGAAATATCCTATATATAAATTGAACTCATTCCAAATTAAAATATTTATTTCATTGCATTTCTCTCTCGAAACTTGAAATGTGCTTCATTGCTATATGGAGTTAGGCAACTTGGAGTGCACTACGCGTTGAAGCGTTAATTGTAGAGAAATCCATGTACGATGATTTACTAACTTTCTACCATGTGCAAAAATCTATAAATTAAGAGAAATAAAATAGGCGATTTCAGGCAAAAATTAACGCTTGAAACAGTGCGGGCAAAGGTACGACAGGGAATTTCCATTTTTTGTTTCTTCATCTGAGAAGAACAGCGGGCTTAGTCTTCCACACATCGATCATACAGATTCAAGTGCAACTTCTAGAACGTAAGGGCCATATGGCTAGAAAAAGTCAAGGACGCCACTATTTGATTTGTGTATATTGCAAGAAAGCATTAACCATCGAAGAACGCGTTTGAATCGCTCAAATGAATATATCTGAAGGGCAACATGTCTTTAGAACGTATATCGTGCCATACAAGTAACATTTATTACAACAATGGACAAGTGAACTTCTATATCATATTTAAATGATTTAAGTATATATCCCATACGCTTCTCGCGTTCAAATCAGTCTGTTCAGTTACCAGTATTTGCAATGTGAAAATATTAGACTTGCAATCGTAACTCTGAAGAAATTAAAATCTAAACAGGCCTAAATAATTCACGTTCCTGATTGAGCCGTTAATTCATAAAAATGTTAAACATTCCATAAATGGTTTTCTCTCTTTCTACAGATGCACAAAGTGAACATTATGAAATGGAATTAAATGAACCACTGACAATGCAATCGGAATTACATCAGTTGGGCTGTAGATAATCTTAAAATAGTCACATGATTGAGTCAGTACATCAGTCGACAACACATCACGAGAACCTTGTTGAAGTGACAAAGCTGACTACTGGCTGGTTAGACTTTGGCTATAATTAGGTTGCATGCACTCAAAGCCGAAAATGTTTAGCGGTTGCAACTCCGTATTCGCACGAAAGAAATTGTTTTCGATCGCCTTCCCTTCACGATGTAAATAAATGCTGACTGAATGATCGGTGGGCAACGAAAGTTTCCGATATTCAATTCATCAGTCATACTAGAACAAAGCATAGAAAATATCCTTGCGTAGTCTTTGATTCTATTTAGATGTTCCCTAGCGTTTGAACCGGTGGAATACGTGCTGCTGAAGAACATTTTCATCCAGAATCTAACTACACCTCTGGTCAGAGAGCGGCTTTTGACCGCAGTGTAAAAACGTACATGATAGCTAATTTCTGTGACAGTAGTGGCGGAAGGACATTCAACGATATCTGAACAACGTTCTCGTTAGGATTCAGTCAACTCAGAGAAGTGAAACGACATACTTCCGTTTCTGAATATCGCAATGTATAAGGAAAATGAAAAACCAACGAAAACCGTTTATAACAATTCTATGTAGATCAGAAATTACGTCTATTACAGGTTTCATGCATCAGCTATCCTGATGATCAAAGAAAATTGCAGCTG